AGCATTCCTGATTTATTTTTAAAATATTTAACAGTACCAGAGAATAATAAACAATCAGAACTTTTTAGATTAGAAGAACACCTGAGTGAAATTCAATTTGGATTCAGAGCAGGACTCGGAACGAGAGAAGCACTTTTTAGTTTGCAAGTTCTAATACAGGATTTCAACTGCGATGTGTGTTTCATTGATTTCGAGAAGGCATTTGATACGATTTGGAAATGAACTGTCCGAGATCTTCACAGTCGAAAAAGGAGTTAGACAGGGTTGCATATTGTCACCGGCATTATCTAACATATACTCTAAAAACATCTTTAGAGGGGGCTTGGACGAATCAGAAGATGGGATTGCTGTAAATGGCCAACTTATAAACAACATTAGATATGCAGACGATACAGTGTTGCTGGCAGACAGTGCGCAGGGGGCTCCAAAGGATTATGGGTAACATTGTAGAAGCATGTAACAAATACTGCCTAAAACTAAATTGCAAGAAGACAAAAGTAGTGATCATTAATAAGAACACCGACTTAAACGCCTAAATTGCAATTAACTATACACCTATTTGGGCTGCAATATTAAGAATACTTGGGATCACAGCTACAAAATAAAAATTTGTATTGAACAAGCCAGAAGCTCTTTCAACAGCCTCAGGAAGATGCTCTGTAACTTAACTTTAAGTTTTAATATATGCATAAGACTTCTGAGATGTTACGTTTTTAGTGTCCTCTATGATGTAGAAATCTGGATCTTATAGAAGATGATATAAACGATTTATTTTACTCAACGCTGTTGATTTTTTTTTTTCATTAAATTCAATACGCTACTTAAAACCCCTGGACTTGTATCAAACTCTGATATCCAACGTCGAAGAGTAGATATGGCCGGTAAAGGAAAACTATTTGCTTTTAAAAACCTACATGCCTTGGGACTTACACTACGTAAAGAAATTGCCGAAGCAATATTTTCTGCTGACCAATGAATATTTGTATTGTTTGGACTAAGTAGTTTTCTGATTTGACCTGAAGTAAAAACAATTTTCATTGCAGATTCATATTTCTGAAGCAATGAGTTTTTGGTTTCTAATTCTTGTAAGAGTAATGCATTCTGCTCCTCCAACATCTTAATTCTTTGTTTAAACTCAACTTCACTATTTGATCTGAAAAAAATACATTACTATTAATTTGTCCATATCAGTTTATACATGCGATAATTTTATTCAAATGCAGTTATAAATACTTACATATTTTTTGTCTGAAGTATTACATTGCTGGAATAGGGAATCTGACAGTTAGCTTCGCTATTGATAATTTGAGCATTTGTAGTACTCGTAGAAGCATTCAAGATATCCCTAATTTCATTCTGACGATTTCTTCGTAGAGATCGCTCAGAACGTTCCTCATTTTTAGCTTTATCTAACCGTTTTATTGTACTTCCATTCAAATTTAAAGTTGGAACTGCGTCCGATTTCAAATGGCGACTACTTTTCGGTGTATGCTGCAGAAGCCTTTCTTTCAATGGTATTTCGAAACAATCCGATTCAAAATGTACGGAACAGACGCAGGCTGTAATTTAAAAAATAATAGATACAGCAAACGAGTAAAACAGGTACCTAGTAGGTACAGCAAACGAGTAAAACGGTGAAACTTACCATATTTTAAATTTATATTATCTTGACGTCGACAAGCCACAATCCACCTTTGTGCTAAGTCTTCATTCTTGGGAAATCTAAAATATTTAATATCTGTTCCCCTAGTTTTTCGATTGAAATTCTTGCAACACGCTACTGCACATCCCGGTATTTTAAATGTTTGATTAACTGTATTATCAATGAAAAATTAAAAATATAAAATACTGTATACACTTTATAAACTATACATATACACCTAAAGCTATCACTATGATATTAAATAGAAATACTTAACGAATTAACACAAATAACACAACATATCCTATGTAAATAAAAGAGAATTGCTTCGCACGTGACGTCTGCGCAAAATTGACCAGTTTTTGATGGGCTATCGAGCATACCGTTGTAAGTGTATCGTTGTCTGAACAATTTTTAAATTGAGCGTATCGAGTAGCCTCAACACAAATTAACTGTATGATATCATCAGTAATGAAAAGCTCGAATAGGTCTACTGGTGACATATTTTCATACTTCGAGAAATTTGAAATTGGAAATATCTTTTGGTTTGTAATCTCGGGTAAGTCACGATTTTTCAACCAGTTTACTAATTTTTTATTTTTTTTATTTTTACCAGATTTAGTATGGAGTATGGTATTACCTTCATTAGAGTCTTTATGTGCAATATCTTCAGTATTTCCATAATCGTCAGTACCAATTCGTTCTCCACTATTGAATACTATTTCTGCAGACGCTTGAAGTTGTTTGCCTGATAAATTGTCTAGTCCACCACCAGATTCATCTCCGGAATCTTCGTCTGATTCTTCTCGGTTTTCCGGGGGTTCTATATAAACCCGATCAACTGTTTCATTGTGAAAATCCTCCCAAAATTCTTCTGAGTCAAAGAGATCTGCAATCTCTTGGACTGTCAATCTGTAACAAAAAATAAAAAACAATTTAACAATTGCGTACCGTAAAAGACTAGCGTGCCATATAAGTTACATGGACAAAAACACATAATTTATGAACACTGGGTATATCTAATGCTCCTTTTTTACATACATAAATGTTATCAACTTATCACATGAACCAAATAGTGTTTGTACTATTTGGAATTGGATGATCAACAAACAATTGAGAAGCTAGGCATCATTACTTCTCTGTCAGAGATTTTTTTACTTGTTTACTTAATATTAAAATGATATCTAATTTTTTATTCTAATTGATGATTTCAATCGATTTTTATTACTTGCCGAAATGTATTAATTATTAACAAAAATATTATAGTGTATAATCAATAAAATAGATCATTTTAATAATAATGTAAGGATAAAAATGACAAATGCATGTAGTATTTAATATAAATAAAATATTGTAGGTATAGCACATTGTTTATAAAGAAATTTTTGGCTTTAGAAAATAATGTGTATTGTTCTGAAACTGTTTGATTGTTGCATGTCCAAGTTAAATATCATGTTTATATGAAATTCAGCCACAATGGCTTGTAATGATTACATTTTTAACTAAAATTTAATGTTTCCTACATACACTCCTTTTAAGAAAAATCTTAAATAATCTTTTTCGAAACAAATTCAGGAGTGATAAAAATAAAATAAAATTTAGTTAAAATAGTAATTATCATTAGTCAATTGTAGTTTAATCTCATATAAACACAATATTAAGTTTCATATACATTATTTGTTTAACAGAATTCTTAAATAATCTCTTTTGAAAGCAATTTCATATTCTTTATAGTATCTTTACAATCAATTGTAGCTTATTCACATATAAACACAATATCCTCCTTAACAAAATTCTTAAATAACCTTTTTGAAAACGATTTCTAGAGTGGAAATCAAATGGTCTTTAAATTATCTTTACAATCAATTGTAGCTTAATCTCATATAAACACATTCTCCTTAGACAGATACTCTTTATCAAAATTCTTGTGTCAATTGTGTAACAGCTAGCTCATCCATTGCACATTAAAACCCCTCAGTGATGTTGTTCGGCATAAACTAATTAATTTTGGAGAAATCCAGAATTATTAATAAAATAGGTTTTCAATACATCTCTTTATTAATTAGTAAATTAATAAAATAATAAATTAAAATTTAATAACAATTAAAAATTGATGTTTTGGCAACAGAGAATTAAGCATCTATACACAAATCAAAGAAAAAAAGAAATTTAGCTTAACTTCCATAAGTGATCCTGCTGTTGCTCTCTTCTCAACTCGATCCATAAATTATTTGCATCAAAACCATGCCTCTAAACCAAAACCATGTGGATTTTCTTAAATCAAAACCATGTGCATTTTCCTAAATCAAAAACCATGTGGATTTTCTTGAATCCAAAACCATGTAGATTTTCTTAAACCTAAACCAAGGTGGCCAGACTGTTGGAAGTTTCTGACCACGAAGATTTATTTTTGAGTACCTTGTTGGCTGCTGGTTTATTTTAAAGATATAAACACATTCTCCTTAGACAGATATTCTTTAACAAAATTCTTAAATAATCTTTTTTGAAAACAATTCCTAGAGTGAAAATCAAAACATCAAATTTTATTTAAAAATGCAATTATCATTACAACCAATTTTAGCTTAATTTCATATAAACACAATATTTATTATGATTTTAAATTATTTATAGTGTGTACCACTCTTACATACTACACGACATCACTTCTTTATTCCTTTTCCTACAAGTATCATAGTAATCACTTAAGAGACTTTCTTTATTTTTGTATTTTTTTTTTCAACTACATATGTACTTTCTTTAGTATTTTTTATATCTTAATTATCTGTTCACAATTTACAATTACTTTATTTTTATTGTTATTTATATTGCTAGCCTAATCTGACATGCTTGCATAGTTCTCCATGCTTGTTTACAGTACACAGTATAAAAAAATTACTAATTTGCGATAAAAAGCCTATACATTTAAGGAGTATAGATTTTGGATAGCTCAAAATACAGGATATAATAATAGGACACATAAACTCAGAAAATAAAACAAAATATAAAATTGTAATGCTGTTTAATTAAAGATCCCAATATTTTCTTTCCAAACTTTGAAGAAACAGTATTTTATTTACTCTCCTTCCTTGTATTCGAGTACGTTGCTGGTTTAAAACTTGGGAAGCTTTAGAAAAAAGTCTTTCGCATGGTACAGAACTGGCTACTATAGTTAAATATCTATAAGCAATTTTAAACAATTTTGGGAATTGATGTTTATAACCAGCCCATACTTCTAAGGGAATTTCTTCCAATCTACTTACTGCTGTTCTTTTTTTCAACTACATATGTACTTTCTTTAGTATTTTTTATATCTTAATTATCTGTTCACAATTTACAATTACTTTATTTTTATTGTTATTTATATTGCTAGCCTAATCGAAAGCTCATCTGTAATTTTTTCTTCATTTTCATTTGATTTCAAATTTCTTTGCACCAGGTTATGATGGTCGCTCCAAAGACTAAAATCTTCTGAAACTTTTTCTAAATTTTCTGATCCAGATTCCACATTAATATTTTCATCCAGAAGGTCCATTTTCATCATTTCCTTAATTTTGCCTATGGCATTTGAGCAAGCTAAATGATCTTCAAAATGGAGTTTTTTGAAACGTGGGTCCAATATTGTACTTATTGCTAATGAAGAAACTTGCTCAATACTACCCATACGTTTGTTGATCTCGTTCAAGATTAGTTTTTGTACATCCATCACCAATGGTTCATCAATTGAAAGGGCTTTCAATTTAGAAATCATGCAGTGAACCAAAGGGATTATCTTACTGCTCGAACAATACTTATCCACAGATATTTCTTTTGTAGCAGCTTCAAGTGGTCTAAGTATAGTAACTAGTGATGAGGCTATATTCAATTCTAATCCAGTTAACATAGCAGGTGCTGTTTTATGGCGTATCAAAAATCACTTCCCGAATTTTTCAGCTTCAAAAATCTCTGCATCATGTAGTATGTGCTGTTCCACCGAGTTGACACATCTTGGATGAGTTTTGGTTCGGCATCACCTCTTACTGACTTTCGTAACTCATCACTTGCTACACAACTATGTTTAAAAAAGGTCACAATGGCTTTTATTTTTAATATAAGATTTTGTACATCGGGTATTTGTAGGCCATTTTGAGCAACTAAATTAAGTGTGTGGGCGAAACAAGTGAGGTGTTTCTTTTTTCGAACAGCAATCTCCACTGCTTTCGTCATATTTGCTGCATTATCAGTGACAACAGCAGAGACTGTGTCAGTGTTAAATCCCAAGTCATTGCAGGTTCTAAGTAGCTCTGCTGCTATATATTCAGACATGTCTTTCATCATTCATGTCTTTGATCTAGATGGTAAACTCCCAATGTAACTGATTGGAACTCCGTGCCTAGTCCAAAATGAGCAGTTACACCTAAAAAACTACGCATCTGCATGTCTGACCAAATATCACTGGTCCAAGTCACATGTTCAACAGTACAAATTTTTGATTTCAATAAAGTTGACAAGACATCATATTTTTCATCAAGCCATCGTGTAACGGTACTTCTACTTGGTATGTTATAGTGAGGAACAGTCACCTTAAGCAGATGTTTAAAACCTTCGTCATCTACCACAGAAAACGGCTGATTGTCTTTGCAAATGAAATATAAAATAGCATTATTAATTTTTCTTGCTTTATCACCAGTAGAAGATGTGTAAGAAACAATTTCTTCAAAACAATTTTTTATTGATTGTTGAATCTTCGGTCTCTTTGAAGATGGCCCTGCAGTATCGTCAATGTCAATAGCATGGTTTTCTGACGGTAGAGGTGTGGCATCAGTGTGGGAACTGCTGGAACCTTCCATAACTTCATTTTTGTTTATGGATAACATTTGGTTTGGTAAATGTGAACCTAGCTTTTTGGGTAAATTAATATTTGGATTAAATGCCAAATTGAAAGCTTTGTGGACATTCTTAATATGGCCCATTAAATTAGTGGTGTTTCCAGCTGAACATAAAGTTTTTTAGCATATTTTACACTTGGCAGTTTTATCATCCAGTTTTTCAAAATAATTCCAAACTTGACTTTTTTTGTTATGTGCCATAATATCTGAAATAAATATTAAATTTGTTATCTTTTATAAAAATTTTTTATGTTTAAAAATAAATGTCTATATTTATACAAAGATCGTGTCTCATTATTACAAACACAAAAAACTTATATTAGAATCAAAAACCTTCATTTCAAGAAATAAAATTACTCACCATGGAATTAGAATGTTACTCATGTTAAAAAATTAAGCCAAAATTGTAAATAAGACCAACAAGCTAAACAGAAAACCAAAACTACAAAAATATAAATATAACGTGACTTACCTATTCCCAAAAATTTGTTTAAATAAATAATTCACTTAATTTCTGGACAAAGAATAATTATTGTGTCGATTAAGTTTTATATTTTGGCCTAATTCACCAAAAAATTTAAATAACTATAAAAAACTTTGTTAAACAAAGAGCATAAAATCTCAGCCAAAGAGCCAAACGTAAAACGAATACAATCAAAAAAGATAAAAATATCACATCACATCCACATGGGAAAAATGGAGTAAGTAAAGGAAATAGGAAATAAAATTGTATTTTGTATTATTTATATTATTGTTGATCTTAGTATTCATCATCATCATCCAGCCGAATTTTCACATCCATTGTTGGATATAGGCCTCCTCCAAACGTCTCCAGTTCTCTCTGTCTCTAGCTGCTGCAATCCAGTTTGTTTCTATCCTCCTTAGGTCGTCGGTCCATCGGGTGGGTGGTCTGCCTCGACTTCGCTTGTCGGCTCCTGGTCTCCACTCCAATAATCTCTTCGTCCATCTTCGTCTTCCATTCTAGCAACATGTCCAGCCCACCTCCACTTTCGTTTATTGATTCGCAGTATAATATCGTCTACGCCAGTTCGTCGGCGTATCTCCTCATTTATTACGCGATCTTTTAAGGTCAGGCCCAGCATTGATCTCTCCATTCGCCTTTGTGTTACCGTCAGTTTTTCGGCAGTAGCATTCGTTAAAGTTAAGGTCTCTGCTCCGTAGGTCAAGACTGGAATGATGCATTGGTTAAATGCCTTCCTTTTCAGGTGAATTGGGATATTTGTTTTAAAAATGTCTCTCATCCGTCCATATGCCGCCCATCCCAACATGATTCGTCTATTTAGCTCGCAGGTTTGGTTGTCTCTGGTTATTCTAATTTCATGACCCAAGTATGTGTATTTATCGATTAATTCTACCTTGTTGTTATTGATCTGTATCTCTTCGCTGGGAACCATATTGGTCATCATTTTGGTTTTCTCGAAATTTATCTCCAGCCCAGTTTTTTGTAGTATGTCATTCAGTTCTTGGAGCATGTCTTTGATCTCCCAGATTATCTGTCAGAAGCACGATATCGTCCGCAAAACGTAGATGGTTTAATCTTTCTCCATCGATGGATATTCCTTTCTGTTGCCATGTTAGTTTTTTAAATGCATACTTAAGAACGGTAATGAACAGCTTTGGTGACATGGTATCACCTTGCCTGACTCCCCTTTTTATCTTTATTTTATTAGTTGCAGAATATAGACTTATGGTTGTTGTGGCATTTTCATATATATTTTTAATTATATTACAATATCTGTGGTCGATCCTGCAATCTTGTAGTGCTCTTAAGATGGACGGTAGTTCCACTGTATCAAACGCCTTTTTAAAGTCTACAAATATCAATGCCAAGGGACGGTTATATTCGTTAGTTTTTTCTATTAGGGTTTTTAGGCACTGCAGGTGATCGTTTGTGCCGTAATTAGGGCGGAAACCAGCTTGTTCCCGAGGTTGGTAAAAATCCAGCTTTGTCTCTAATCTATTCGTTATTATTCGGGTGTATAATTTATAAAGATGGTTAAGGAGACTGATTGGTCTGTATCTTTCCAGGTCTGCTACATCTCCCTTCTTGTGTAAGAGTACGATCTTAGTATTAGCAACCCAAAAAACAGCGATGTAAATTTTAAATCATACCAACATTTACGCGCGGCAAAGTTCGTCCTAATATTATATTCAACTCAAAGAAATCAAACTAATTTTAGGCTACTTAGGAAAGTGTTTTTTATCTTTGTTTTAACTATTTAGACAAGCCGCCACCAAGATATAAGTTTACTAATTTTTAGCCAATATCCGCAATGGATAAGGCACGAGAAGAAAAGAAGACTAAAAAACACTGCGCTTGCGCTAAAACAGTTAATTGTTAAGGAACAGGAATGAATAATATGAATATGCCACGCTATTCGATTCAATGCATCTAATAAAAAACATCGATATATCGTAAAAGATCTACTATATTCGATGTATCGGATTGATTCGATGCATCGCATGGTATCGATGTTTTCGATGCATCGATGCATATCGAACACCCCTACTAAAGAAAGATTCGATCAACACGCGTCATCAAACCGTCCAGAATATAAAATAGGAGATAAGGTTGACGTCAAGGAATCCCAAATTAAAGATAAATCCCAAAATAAATTTAATGGACCTTTCGAAATCCAAGAAATTCACGTAAATGCTGCTACTTTATTAAATACCCAAACCAATAGAACAATAAAAGTAAATTTTGATGATTAAAACCCTATCATAAGTAATTTTCTTTCAGATTCCTCGGACTGATCCCAGTCATCCTCTCCCAGTATACGTTAACTCCAATCAACAACACTGTTGGAATCTTTTTTCATGAAACCAATCTCAAAAATTTCGAACGACAAATGGACCCTCCTTGTATATAAAGACATGCAACCAATCAGAGACGTTATCGACAAAAACGACAAAATCTTAGAAAATTTATTGGATACCATCGAAGAAGATGTACCTCGAATGCTGCCATTTAAATCCGAAGTCCAAACTCACAAACCCGCGATGAGTATCAAATCGAAAACTTATTGAAAAACCAAATATCGGTTACCACTTCTGTTATTAAAATCTTTAACGCAACAATCCAGAAATTACAAATAGATGAAGAAACATTCAACAATAATATTAAAGAAATTCGAGAGTCAATAATGGATATCTCTGACCAATTAAAATTCTATCAATCTTAAATCGATATGCTAAACTTTTGTGAATTACTAATGGAAAGCTATTCATTTATCGAAGACTCTTTAAATGAAATAGTAAATGCCTTAATCTTTGCTCGATTAAAAATATTTCATAGCTCAATCATAAGCCCGTTTGATTTAATTGAATCGCTCAGGCATATATCACAATCATTACAAAAAAATAATCTTCCATTATCAATCTATACTTCAAATCTAGGTCAATATCTGGATATTATCGAATTGCAAGCCTATCAATTGGACACAAGAATTATGTTTGTCTTAAATATTCCTTTAACTGATGCAGAACAATATACTTTATATCGTATCTATCCAATACCAATACTGGATAATCGAACAGGTCTTCATTCAATATTAACAATAACAAATAAATACATTGCGCGAAATTATGATTCATTGTTATACCTTACAATTTAAGTCTTGCAAAACTTTGCGAGCTACCAAGATCTGTTACTGTAACAAAAATGGATTGGCTGGGGCGCCAATATAACAAGAATGTGTATTGTAGCAATAGGGTAAACTCTAAAATGTACCTTGATACACCAACGGATTAATATCTGGAATAACAGAAGATGGAAGGGATTAGATAGAAATAAATTATATGAAAGAAATAAATA